TTTTATGTTTTCCTTACCATTCTACTTACTGTATTTGGTGCCAAAACAAAGGTGAGTCCTCATCCTGCCATGATTCTCACAATATTTGCTGTTTTAAACATAAATTATTGGTCTGAATGTAGAAATGGACAAGTTTGGGCAAGTAGCTACCTATTTTCCTGTAACTATTTCCTGATTTAGAAAGATCAACAAACATTTTTCTTGCTTAAATCGCATGTTCTCTGGTCTTACACATTTTGTAGAGTTACCAGGAGAAACCAGAATATGATGATCAGTCATCATAATTACAATTGTAACAATTCCAGAACAAACTGATGATCTTCAAAAGCAAAAGTTGATACATAAAATGTTAAATTTTTAGTCAAATCCAGAATCATTCATTCCCCTGCCAGGTTTAAAGTGATCTTTTAATTATTATTTTTTTTTTTAATAAAATGTAAATTTTTACTCCTTTTGCTTTGTCTCATTCATCATAATTTCCTGTCTGAAACAAACTTCTGAGTAAAATGTAAATAAATATAGATCTATATAAATCAACCAATTTAAAAAGGTACAAACGCATTGCTGTGGTTATGAAATCAAATTAAGTTAATCAATGGCCATATCACAACACAGATGTGTGCATTTATTCTGAATTTCTGGGCCAGATGTCTGAGCAGGACCCTGAACCCTTTATCCCTCCATCTCATGGAGGGTACAGAAATGCAAGAAGCTTACCAACAATTCAGGACAAAGGGGATTTGGCTGTTTGGTGGGAGGGTGAGGGGAGTGAGGTTTTGATGGGGGTGCGGGTGCTTAGATGTGGTGCGTACTCTGCAGTTATTGCTCTATGTGGTACCAGCCCAGGAGGCACACTGACAGCTGCAGACTGAAAGGAGGGGCAAATGGATGATGTATGGCTCGGGAAGCCCTCAGCTAAAAGGCCAAACAGCTGATAAAAATTTGACATATTATTACACAACAGCCTGCCCAAGCCTTCCTAAAGCAGCACATAAAATTGATTTTATCCTGTGGAGAATATACGACAAAAACAGAGATGTGGAAGCAAAATAAAGTACTTGTCTTTTGTAATGCCAAATAATCTCGGTGCAGAAACCTGCGCATCGTGAGTTTCCAGAAATCAAGGTCATGTCCAGAGTGTCAAGCTGGTTTCTGCATTCTCACAATTCCTGTCAGGCCCTCAGAGCAGCTGTGCATATGACAGCCAGGCACTGCGGGCACAGATTGACTCTTAATTTAACTTCTTGTTGGAAAAAAACATCTAACAAAACAATTTCTGTTGGGCTTTTTATATTTATTAGTTTGCTGATCAATTGTTAGGATTGTTTTGGGGTATATACTACGTAAAATCTGGAGTAACTTCATGTTCCTGCCATGTCTGCACCAGGAAACCATGCAATTTTCTTAAAAAATCTCGAACAATTATCATTATATGGGAGTGAGTGTGTATTCAAAATTTACCTATATAACCTTAACTCCATCCAGGACTTTATAGGTCTAGGGTAAGGAAAAACAGAACTAATATATCCACAGACTACACATATCCTGGACACAAAGTGTGTTTTCTGTTAGTATGGGGCTACATTAAACAAAACTAAAAACAATTAATACCAACACCTCAGAACTCCAGCAGTCAGCTTCTCTACTGGAAAACAATAGCATATTTGTGATACTTTGAAAAAAATATTTTGTGCATTTATATTAATATATGCCCATAGTTTTCTCAGTATTTTAAAATATCTTTTAAGGTGTCATGAATTGTAAAGTGTCATGAGTTCTGTTGTGAGGTGAGGATGGAATGTGGCTGGACCCAGTTTGTAGAAAAAATGGTTTAATAATGAACAAGAACATGAAGAGAAGCCAGGCAGCACAGGTGAGCAACGAGACAAGGAAATGCAAACACTGGTAGCACTGGGAGGCACACTGACCCAGTGACAACAAAGACTTGACATTGCACAAGGATCCGACAAACAGCAGGGGAAACAGGTGCGGTTAAATACACAGTATGAAATCAGTGAACACGAGACACAGCTGGGATCAATCAAGACACACAGACTAAATTAACCAAAAAACACACAAACTTAAATCCTCACACAAAGTCAAATTATTTGTTTTTGCACATAAACATAGCAATGAAATTTGATTTTGAATCTGATTCTGATAAGCAGAGGTGGGTAGAGTACCCATCATTTATACTCAAGTATATTCAAAGTGAAAGTAGTCATTAAAAAAAAATCCATTCTAAAGTATATAACCTCTGTCATATACTGGATTTGTTCATATCTGTACACCATAACATGTAGATACTTACCAAAATGTGTATATATCCATGTTGCAAATTATAAACGAATGTTAAAGTAAAATATTTAAATCCAAGTATCCAAATGCTTCTCACAGTGAGGCACTCCTCATTCAGAGTTATTAAATACAGCTTTATATATGAAAATGTTAACAGGTGAATAGATAAAGTGAAATGGGATTCCAGGGCTGAGGAAATGAGGCCATTTGATCCACCATTTTACCTCCTGCACAGCAAAGACAGTTCTTCAACTCATTCTTCCCATTACGTCCCTTTCATGGCCTCCCATAAGGCTGCTTGCGGCCTGCAGCTTTGGGTTTCAAAGCCTGCTAAACGACAGAACTGACCCTTTTGAAGCCTGCAAGTTGAAAGCTCAGAGATTTTCAAAAAAACATAAATCTATTCTCTTTTACACAGTTAATTATGCTGCTTCACTCTGTATTTCTGCAAAGTTATTCAAGTAAGGAACAACTAACTTGTGGGGATGTGTCATGTGTTGAGCGTCAAGCATCCCTCCCAAGGCAGTAGCGCCATTTTCTATCAACAGTAAGGAAGGGTGAGGACCTCAGGGCATCTTTCTCCTGTTACACTGTCCTGATGGCTCTTTTTGATCTCCAGATCTCTTTGAAAGACACTGCCGACCCCTGTGAGTCACTTAGGTTTAAGACGCTCCATCCCACCTTTGGGAGGACATGTCAGGCGGTCAGGCTTTAAGAGATTGGACAAGGGGAAAATGCAGCAAAATGTCGTGCAGTCGTTTTGAGCAGTTGTCGAGTCCAGTGCATGTTTTGCTCTACATAACCCCCCACTTAAAGGAAAAGCCTCCAGAGTGTGCTGACATGCAAGCATAGTGAGCTGTTTGCTGTGTCTGCAGGGGAGGGCTACAACCCCCCGCAGCTACGACGGGAGCAGTAGGAGCTGTCAGCAAATCGTATAGAGGTCAGGGGGTGGAGAGGACACAAAGATCTGGGACACGGCGATCAATCGATTGGCTGGTGCTGCATCCCTCTGGGCCCTTACACGATACGGCTGTCACTGCAAACATGACGGAGAGGGAAAAACACACAGAAATGTCTTCAGTATGGCAGTCAGTGCATTCCAAAGGAATAGATGCCATATGTGAAGGCAGTGACTAATTGTATCAGTCACTTCCTGAATGTCAATGTGGATCATTATATGCCCCTCACTCTATTGCACATGTGCCTTGTGTTTCATGTTGAAATATACAAATTTAATTGAAAAATACACCAGCATCCCCTGCTTATGCATATTGTTGTATACAGCTTGTTTCTAAATTAATATGAACTTGTTTTCTTTGCATTATTTGAGGTCCAAAAGCACTTCATCGTTTTTGTTATTTTGACCATTTTCTGCAACTAAATATTAGAAAGATGTTGTCAGCAGTTTATGGAATTAAATCACAATGTTAACTTTACTCAAACATAAATGTATTAAAAGTAAAATCAGAGAAACTGATCGTTTGAAGTCATTTTTAAAATTTTGTCAAAGTGGCTTATTACAAAAAACAGATTAAATGAGAGTAATGTCTCAGTAAATATGCAGCTCAAGAACGCAACAACAGGACTTCATTTCATTAAAACTGACATAAACTATTTTTCAAAGCACCAGAATACATGGTAATTTAGAAAACAGTTTGAACACAAAAAAGTAGCATTTATTGTTTGTTGGCTCCATTTTCTTCATCACTAGATTATTCCATTTTTTTTCAAATAGCAGAAAAATGTGTGAGAAAAATTAACTGACAAGACTGATCAGGACTGACGGTGTATTTTGCACATCTTAACTGTGGGATGCTGCGTGACCTCACGCTGACAGGGAGTACCATTCAAGCCCTCCGAAGTCTTCAGTACATCTGTGATTGAGCTACTTTGCAGAAGTGTGTGATAAGTGTTTCCAGGTGCACTTCTTAAATCCTCCCTCAGATCTGCAAGCTTACAGAGAATCATGTCATGCTTCTAATCCACCTCATTTAATATTTCAACATTTCTGCTGCTGTCAGACTCAGCACGACCACCGAAACACAGAAACTGCTATCTCTGACAGTTTAGCTTCCCTGCTCCAAAGCTGACCTCTCCGCTACGTTCAATCTTTTCACTGTCTTTGCATATAAGTGACAAATATGGTTATATATTCTGAAATTAAAGTAAAATATTCATCTCATTTGAGCCTTTATAGCATTCTAACACTCTTTTAATTGTAGCTACACTTTAGCTGCTCTGAATCTTTGGATGTCAACAGCAAGCAGCATTGCTCACCAAACCAGTAAACAGCTTACACCGGTTTCCTTCTACAGTTTTTTTTCCTCCAAAGTAAACATCAAAACTTTTGAGATGCCCAAATGAGTCATTTTTCTTCTCTACTGTAGCTAATCCAAAGCAGACACTGAATATTTTGCAATGCTAAGCAGCATTAGTTTGCAAAGGCTTTATGAGTTGAATTCATTATGCAACCATATCCACAGAGTGTCTAGTTCGTCAGCTTTAAATGAAGCGCCGATTATTTATGTTTAAATCACATCTCTGAATGGGGTCATGTTTTAATATGCAAAAAGATGGCTTGTGATGTGGAGATGTTCTTAGCTTTGCCGTCTTTAATCTCTCATTTCATCTTATGGCTTTTCTTCTCAAAGTAGTCCAGACAGACATGACAAAAAAAAACAAAAACGTTTTTGTACCACAAGTGTGTCAAAAATTAATCTTTAATCACAGCAAAAGCAAAACCTTGTTTTGAGTTTTATTAAGTATTTAGTCTTCGCCTCAGAAGGTGGAAAAAAAGTAGATTAAACAGTATCAAACTGTGAATTCATAGTTGAGCAGCTAAAATGCAATGTAACTGAACACACAGAAAGATTAATGTATTGATATTTAGTTTAACATAAAGGGGGAACAAAGCACAACAGGGAAAAAAATGAAAAGAAATATACAAGAGTGTTCAAAAACAATCAAAACAACTACAGTTCCAGAAGTTTACATACAACCATCATAAATGTCATATTAACTTTATCCTTTATTTGTGTGAAAAATATACAAGTTGTTCATATGTTAAAGAAATTACATTTATTGAGGATTTTCTCTGATCCACACAGCATTAAAACTATACATCTGGTTCAATTCAAAGCTTTTTTTTGAACATATAAAGAGGTTTTGGATATTTGTCCGGTTTTAAGACCCAACTCTTAAAACCGTTGGGTCATGATGAAGACTCTGTCCAAGTCTTCATCATGTGTCCCAAACTGTCAATCTCTGATAAAAAAAGTACTTTTTGTTGATTACACAAAAAATACGGAAAATGTTTAAGCTTGTTGATCCAACTCTAGTTTTCTGAAATTACTGAAGTCGAAAGCCGCATTATCCTTCCATCTTGATATAAATCATTGAAAGAAATCCTTTATTGTCCAGAATTAATGACATTCACGCCAGTGATGACTGTATGTACACTTCTGAGTTGAACTGTAAGTATGCAGTGTGGTAGCAGTTGTGTTGGTTTTTATCTGACTTAATGAAAGACCAAAAAAGAGACACTCATAAAACAGGTTATTAAAATGACTTTTACGGCTCTGTAGTGATTTATCAAACACATCAAAAATATAACTAGGATAAGTGTTTTGCTCATAAATATGGTCAGTAGTAGTGTGTTTTTATTTAAATGTGCACTGCACGTTAGAAACTATCTGTAAAAACCAGCAAGTTTACGCTCAGGGCTCCTTTTTCCCAAAGAACTTTTTAAAGACAGATTTGTTGCGAGGTCGCGGGAGGCTCGAGTAGCTTTTCAGAGCAGAGTCCTTAAACACGTCTGGCTGCCACGAAGGTGAGGGCAGCACCGGTGGCTCCAGACCTCTGCTTATCGACGAGCTGTCTGCCGAACTGCCCCCCACCACCAGAGTCACACAGTAGTTGGATCCTTTTTCCACCCCTTCTCCTCCAGGAGAGGGTTGCATTGGTTTAATCTTCTGGTAGGTTGCTGAAAAATAACCAGTATTCAGATTGAATGTGATAAATGATAAAATTCAGGCTAACCACTGCAATCTAACCTGACGTAAAAGAGTGGGAGCGGTGCTTGCTGCTGAGCCAGTTCTGGCTGCTGTTTGCAGGGGAAGTGTTGTCTACAGAAAGTCTGTGAGTCACCGTATGCGTTAAGCTGGATTCATCCCCATCATAATCATCATCATCATCATCTGTGGGGGTCAGATGAGAGCAGAAAAGCTGAGTAAGAAGAGATTTACATTTACTGAAAAAAACAATCCTCTTGAGCAATCAAGTGACACTACAGATATTCAATGTGGAGTGCTTCAGCTCCACCTAGTGGCATCCGCTGTACCTACAACATCCTTTGTAAGATATTTATTTGGCTGGGGGTGAGTTCAGACAAATGCAGTGCATGAATGTTATGCAGATGTCTCTTTTGGTAAACAGTTCTCCACTCTTACCACAGCAGCCTGGATCCAATGACAAGGTCTTGGACTTCTCGTCTGCTCTTTGGCTCTGGAGCATGTGACTCTGCTCTCTGGTGAGAACAACAATTTCTTTGGTTTGATCGCTGCTCTGTTGCTTCAACCTTGGGAATGCATGGATGACTTTGTGCTGGGAATGGCAGAGAGTGCTGGTTTGATCCTGGCATCTAAAGCATAAGAGCAGGTAACAGTCAATATTAAAGAATGCTGCACAGAATGTGAGTATTTTATACAAATTGTTTTGAATGTTATCTTACAAAGAGATGGGAAAGGCTTGATCACCAGGAACATTTGTTGGTGAAGACTTGAGCTCACTTTGACCTTTGATAGAAGAAAAGGTTCCATTACAGTTATTCTATGTCAGATTAATTGTGTAAGTGGAAGGAAAACAATACATGAATTTCAAAACAACCTGTGAACACAAGCAGCAGGATAACGACTCTAAACATACTGCCAGAGCTTTTCAGCAAAGCATATTTATATGCTAGAATGGTCTAGTCAAAGTCCAGTCCTAAATTCCATGGAGAAACTGTGGTAAGATTTAAAAGCTAATGTTCACAGATGCTTTCTGTCAAATATGACTGAGTTCGAGCTGTTCTACTAAACAGAACTGACAAAGATTTAAATCTCAAGATGTGCAAACATTTTAGAAACATATCCAAAAAACAAGTGTTTACTAAGGCGACAGAAACAATAATAAATGAAATAAAATGTAGAATCATTTTCTTTCTACTTTATTTGTTATTTTGCGGTGATCTATTACATAAAATCACAATAAAATACATTAATGCGTGTGATCGTGATGTGAAAAAATATAAAAATATGCTTTTGAAAGCCTCAGTATTATCATATTTACCTGTGCTTGCTTGTATTTTCATGATCCACTTCTTCATCAAGAAGCGGGAGGTGGCATTAAACAAGTATTCAGACCCGTCACGGAGACTGAAGACCAGAAACGATGGCGGTAAAGAAAAATTTGCAGTGCATATTATTTGCCTTTACATCTGTGTAATTTGCAATAACAATTTGGCTGTTTGCCCAGGATTACCGTAGACTGAAGCAGTTGGGTTTTTTGGTATAGTCTAGGGCAGCCGAGCACTCAGCTCCCATGAGGTTCAGCGGTAGACCGCATGCAGAGCTCTGCAGCACAAACTCATTATTAGTCACCACATGCCAACTGCTTTACAGATATCATATCTGCTTTCTGCTTACGCGCAGTGTATCCTTTCTGTCCTGGAAGAAGCACAAGGTGTGTCTATATAGGACAGTGTGGTAGGAGTTCCAGCCTCTGGAGGCAGCCTGTGAAAATAAGATAAGACCACATGCTGCTGACTCTGGGCTTTACATCTGCTGACTATGTAGGTCTAAACATTTCTTACTTTCTTTCCTCCCAGCTGCAGCTTGTGCTTCCTCTCCAGAGTTCCCTCCATCGACTGATGCTCCGGTTTTCCACTCTATATGGGTTTGAATTAAAAATCACATTCATGGAAAAAGACCAACTAACAACAAACAATATTTCCACTCTGCTTTCAGTCTTACTAGGATGAAACAGCGCCCTCCTGTGGCTACTCGTCCTTGAGGCTTTGCTATGCGTTTAAGATTTTTCTGGCAGGCTTCATTCAAACCCATATTGACTGAAAGGAGACTCATAGACTGGTTCTGTTAAAAAAAAGGAAGAGTATACAGTCAGAACATTACTTAGGTTTGCTAAAGTTAAGATACAGACCGGCACCCCTGGTACAAGTGTGTAATAAATATATACATATATAAATTACACATTTCATTGCAGTGATATAATCTCCAGAGCCAAATCAACATTTTCTCATGAACTAAATCTAATTTAAAAAGCTGTAGTGAATCCAGCATGATTCAAAGATTGTGCAGAATAATAGTCAAACATCTCTAGATAAGCCAACCTTGTGAAACGTTATAGAAGATTAAAACAACCAAAACATTAAATACACAGTTTTTCTTTAAATCAAAACTTAAAAATACACATGTTTAGAGTTGAATTTGATTACTAAAAATTTGAATGTTGACCAATATACAATATTTGATGTATATTTTGAAGATTGCATTTGACAAAATGTAATGTTTATTGCTTGTTTCATAACTAATTACTATATTATGCTTATATCAGACATAACCTGCCTTGTTGCTAAAATGTGCTACACAAATAAACATTAACTGTAGTTATATAAATACTTCTAAAAAATTATTATGACTTAATTCTGGATTATTTTCCCCTCTGAATAAATTGACTCAAAGTGAAGGTTGGATTTTTCAAAATACTTCTGTGTGAGATTATTTTCAATAAAATAAAATGTTTTTAATTTATATTAGGGCTTTTATAGGCACTCTAACTACAAGCTAAGAGCAAAGATAATAAATTAATGATTTAGGAACCACTGTTGGAGTATTTATTGATACTTTGAGTGACATGACCCAACCTCAGTGGCTTGAACTCATTTCTTGGGAATCTGTTAACATTTTCAATCAGAAAAATTAGAGTTCAACATCAGCTGTTTACCATGTTTTTAACCTCTGAGAACAAATAAGCTTCTACAATAACTTTGCAGCATCAGTTAACCCTGCTTTCCCCATACTTTAGGAAGCAAACTTACCTGTGAGTACCTGCTTAGCTCCTCTCCTTCTTTCATCTTCCTCTGTTCCCCCTCTTCCTCCTCTCTGTATTGGTAAACGTATCTTGGATTGTCGCCGACATCTGGAAGCTTCACCGGATCAGATGCCGTCTCGTTCAGCATCATTACAGTGTTGCTAACTGGTTCCCTGTTGGGAAATGCCGCCCAGGACCTCCGGTCCGCTGTGACCAGAGGAGGGAGGTGATCTTTGGAGCTCTCCCACTTCTCATAACCCAGACAGCTCTGGATGTGGGAGGGGAGTTTGAACTCGGCTACGAGGAGGTTCGGTTCTGAGACGGTGACCAGGTTTCTGTAGAGAACAGGTGGCTCTGTGACAGAAGGGGAGTTGAAAAGTGTGTCTGGCTCTCTGGTTTGGTTGGGCTGGTACATGATGTCTGAGCAGATGCTCTGCCTGTAGTTGGTATTCTGTTTCCAGATGTCCTCCAGTTCTTCTTCTTCCTCCTCAAACTGCTGGTGGTCGACATGGACCGGCTCTGTGTTGAAATTCACAGATTCTGGGGATGAACTTGAGAACGTGGCATAGTTTTCTGTTGTTGTAGTCGGTTCAATGCCTCCCACCTCAAGGGAAATAAGTTTCCCCACCACTCCTTTAGGCTGGGGCTGATCCGGACAGGGAGCGTCGGTGCAAAGCTTGAAACTGCTGGAGGTGGAGATGCCAGAATCTACAGAGTCCTGTCGAACACTGACACTCATCGTTGACTTCAGATTCACTCTCACATGAGAAGCTTGGTTTGATTTCAGCTGAGGACTGTTGTCATGCTCACACTGGGATTTTGTGCATTTATGGTACTGGTGTCCATTCAGGTCCCGGATGAGTGTATGGACACTGAGACACTCGTGTTTATGAGGGACTGAGCAGCAGTTATGGGCTTGGTTCATATAAATAGGCGGCTTTGAAGGCGGACTGATTTCATTTGTTGTAGATTTAGTATCTGACAAGATTTCGTCCTTCTCTTCTGATCCGGCACAAGGTTCTTCCAGGAAAGATGGTTGTAAACTCGCTTCCTCATCAGGTAGATCTTTTGCTGCAGCTATTGACTCCTGCGTTTCAGGAGAGCTAATTTCACTTCCTGCAATGGCCGCCAGGACGTGGGTTTGTCGGAAAGAGCTCAGAACTGTTTTTCTTTGAGAAAGAGGGTCAGAATCTGTTGCATCTGCTTTTTTAGACTCTGGAGGGGCAATAGTGATGATTTCTTGAATGCTGGGAATGAGGGTCATGTCTTTTGGCAGATCGAAGCTCAACACCGAGCCCAAAGAGAGGACTCTGCAGTGGCTTCTCCCAGGAGCCTTTGATGGAGAAGTCGTTGGTCCGGATGATACGGCGTACGGAGTGATGCTGTTTTCTCCTGAACACTCTGAATCGATGTCTTTCAGAAGAGGGTTTTTCATGTAAGCCCCAGAGCCTGCAACATTTCTGTTCTTCTGTAAGCTCTTCTTCCTCTGACCTTCCTTCAGCGGCCATGTTTGAGTGTTATATGTGACGGTCTCATAGTCATACCGCTGTATCGCACTGGTCTGCTCATCCACGTCCATGATTCTCTGTATCGTGTGTCTGCGTTCGTCTCGCTTCCTTTTCCTCTTCTTGCTCATCCGTTTGAGGCTGCAGAAGATGGAGTTGCCGCTGCTTCCCGTCGTGGGGCGGAAGCCGGTGTTGGTTGATTGTGGGTCAGTCACTGGGGAAGATTGTGAGGAGCAGGAGGAGGAGGCGGACGGCCATAAAGTAGGGGAGTCTGAGGCTGCAGAACGGCTCTTTCGGCGGGGAAGGGTGATACTCTCGTACACCGGGGCCACAGCCAGGGTGCTGTCCTTAACATGCAGATAAGTACTTACCTGTGAAAAGACAGAAAACGATTAAATGCATGAGGATGAGTGGATATTTACTGAATATGTTCTTGCTATGTCTTGCAAAAGAAGAAAAACAAAACAATTTTTAGTAAAAAGACAAAACTGAAAAGTATGTCATGCTTTTACATTCAGAACATTTATTATATTTAGTGAACATATGATCATAAAAACAGCATGATAACCAAAGAAAAAGATAGTGATATAGTTGTGGAGACATTTTACACATGGTTAGATTTATGACACCTGTCTATTTAAAACAGTCCAGAAAGTAAAACATTACTTAGAGAAGCAGCTAAGAGACCCATAGTAACAGTTAACGCTTGCTGTCAATAGCTGCATTTCCATTGGTCATATGACTATGCCGTTTGACATTTTGAAAATAGATTTGCTTAATGAAAACACAAAAATAAAAAAACAAACTTATTTTCTGATAAAAGTTATGGTGCCAAGATGATGTGCTTTTGTTTTTTGGCTATAACAAAATGTATGTATTTCACCAAACTGCAATGGACACTTCACTTGAACCACATAATCAATAACTGGATGATGCCACTGGGACAAACTACAAAGAAGAATTCAACAGGAAGTAGTTGGAGAATGATTGTGCGGCATATTTTTTCAGTGACTTTAATTGTCAGTGAAAAATATTTCAATTTTTCTTTAATGAAAAATGTAAAAATTGTGGTTTTTAGAGTATTGACAAAGTTTTGCACAGATTTGTAATGGAAACATATTCTGAATTACATCAAGAATCTATGGCAAGATGGAAACAGTTCTTCACAGATGCACTTCATTCACATCTTTTATCACACAATATCCCAATAAAATACACAGAGGTTTGTGGGTGTAAAGATACAAAATGTAAGAGTAACTTTGCAAGGCGCCGTATGGTTGGCAAAACTATGAGCGGTTCAAGCTTGATGTTCAGTGACATAAAGAATTTTAGAGAAACACTCATCAAAGAAAACTCTGGATTGACAAATATTTATGAAGCATACAGGAATGTATGAAAAGCACATGATAGAACATGAATCCAATGGCAGACTCAGGTTTTAATCAAAATCATATGCGTCTGCATATGTCGTCATACACAGCTGTAATGTCTTGACCTTTCAACTCTGTGACTAATCTCTTGTAGCTGCATGAGCTCCAGACTATAAATCATGTAGTGCAGTCTGGGGCCTTTCTGAAAGGTTCAGCACCAGTTCTCTTGTCTCATGACGGCAGCTTCACCGGCATGTGGGACACACTCCTACTGGGAGCCATTTTGGAGCTGAGGATGAGGTCACTCATTTCACACAATCACAACGGAGCCGGGCGAGAGTCAGACCTGAGCAGGTTTACATCAGGCTCATCAAAGACAAGAGAGAGTTTCTGTCAGGAGTCGCAGCAGGGAGGAGACTGTGTGTGCTTTTCTTACTCATCGCTCACCTCGTTTCTGTCATCATCACTTTTCAGCTTTAAATCTAGCCTCATTTTACAAGTGAAAATCCCAAATAAAACTTTTAATGACGAGAAAAACAAAGGTTTGGTTATCTGCTGGAATTTCACCCATTGATTTGAGTTTCCAAGAGACAAGTTGAAAATACAACACAGAGAACTTTATAACTTTTTTTTTTTTCAGAGAAGGTCAGCTAATACCTGAATTAACTTGTCCAGCTAACAAACAGTTCATTTGATTCAAGTGTGTTGAAAAACAGAGGCACCCAAAGGTTGTAGGAAAGTAGCTCTGAGATTGGACTTTAGCAGCCATTCATTAGGTCTAGGACAGTTAAACACAAAGTTGATAGAAATGTATTTAATTACAAACCCTAAACTATAGTTTTAGCTACAAAATGAGTTACTAGCATGACTCAAATTAGCTTTAGCAAAAATGTTTTATTGAAAGTTCATTTCTCTGTTATTCTGTTTGAAGTAGAAGAGCCGAATGTTGGCTTCATCAGGGAGTCACATTTCTTTCATCAACTAGAGTAATATCCAAGCCAGTAATGTAAGTAACAAAAAAAGCTAATTTGGTTGAGATGTTTCTGCTTCAACACATCTTTATCAGCAGCAATTTTGTCAAAGATAAAGCCAGAAATAAAGGATAGGAGCAAAACATTCTCCAGAAGCAAATTTGCTGAAAAATAGAGTTCAGAATTTTTGTAAGTTTCCGCAGATTAAGGCTTTTTAAAATCTACATAAGACCACTAGGATTTAAATGTAGGACCTACACAAGCTTGTTAAATCTGCATGAATTTAAGATCAACTAATGCCTAAATTTGATGTAAAACTCAGCATAAACCCTGGAGGAGCAGCTTTCTGGTGAGGATGATTGAGCACCAGGTGACAAGGGAAACAGGAAACTAAACATGCTAGAGATCAGACCATTGATTTCTGAGACAATGTGATCAGTCTTCAGGAAAAAAAGCTCCAATGAACCAAGAATGTGTTGAACTCAAGCAGGATTTGGACGAGAAACAGGGGGAAAGAAACAGGGGAAATGGCAGCAATATTCAAAAAGAAACATCAACACTGGAATTATAGATATTTTGCTTAATCTGAATGTATTTATCAATAAAAGCCTGCAAATCATATATGTTTATTATTCAAATAAAGCACAGGTGTCAAACTCCAGTTCTGTAGGGTCACTGCCTTGCAACTTTTTGATGTGCCTTTGCTGCACCACACCTGAATATTATAATTGGGTCATTAGCAAGGCTCTTGAGAACTTATCTACACAAGAAGGAGATAATTAAGCCATTTGATTCCAGCATTTTTTGTAGCTGTGGCAAAACTAAAAACTGCAGGACCAAGTGGCCCTTGAGGACTGGAGTTTGACACTCCTGAAATACAGCATAAAAAGGAAAAACCTAAAGACTCAAAACAGACTATTTTCATTTTCAAAGAATGAATAAAGTTAACTTATTTAGGGTCTACCTTTTATTTATTCTAAATTAGATTAAACACATCTATTTTTATATTCTCAATCTTCTTGTCTGTGGTTTTATATTTGCCTTGCAGAGGAGCCAAAGCCACTGGGTTGCTGAACATTTTGTATCGTCTACCAGGTTAGGAAAAAAGCATGCTACCCTCAGGAAACAGCTGCACACTGCATGCAGTCTCAACACACTTGGAGACGCTGCATGCAATCCCAGTTCACACTGCGCAAATTACCTCATCTGCGCTCTGCCGATAAATCTTTTTCTTTCGCTTTAAACTACCGAAAGTATTTTCCAAAATCCCCTGGCAACGCCTCCAAAACTTTTTACAGGCAGAAGACTGAGGCACAGCGGGCTGAGGGAGAGAACGAGGGGAAAATAGAAAGTTGTGAATGCCAAAGGAGAAAGGAATGACCTGCAGGACAGACAGGGAGATCCCATGCAGTATTGTTGTAGAAAAGTGATTATCAAAGCCTGAAAGCATAAAAATTTTCCTCTTTTCTTTGAACAGATTATGCATGTAACTGGGTGATGTTTTGTGTCGTGTGGTCCTCACCCTGTGAACAGGCTCAGATGTCTCCTTCAACACCTCATCCGTCCCAGCAGGTAGGTCGAGCACCTGCACTTGGCTGTCCTCAGTGCTCCCAAAGCTAAGGATGAGGTTTACAGCACCCCCAACAGGTGGGCTGCTGCTCTCCTTCACCAACATAATGTTTGCTTTGGGAGAATCGCCTCGTGGGCCGATCCTGTTCATGATTTCATACCCATCTTCTGACATTTTCCCTTTGCTCTTGTCATTGCATTCAGCTGCATTTGTTGTGTCCTCAGAGGTTCTGATGGCATATGATTGTTGGAAGACTTCAGGGTCAGCAACCGAACTCTGTGAGGGAAAACAAAGACGAGCAAAATATTTACCCTTGTCCAAGAGAATTCAGGTTTTAGATCATACAAAGAATTCTAGACTCAGTGACCAGATTTCTCTGTCATTTATGTTAAAACATAAATATTAAAACATGAATACAAAAGTTCCCTATGAATCCAGATATTTCTACAATTAACAATAACTATAAGAAAGAATATGGATTAACAACACTGGGTGAAACAAGTCAAACCCTTTGAGCAACTTGTCAACTCCTTCCCTGTGGTGGCGATGCACCAAGAACCGCTAAAGGAAACAACACAAAAATCTCCAAAGAAGACAATGAGCACTTCCTTCATCATGAGATTCTAAGTGTTGGCCTTTTTTGACGCATCACATCTCAGGCTGGTACTTATTTCTTGCTGTCCTTTGTGTAATATTTGGTGGAGTGATGATTGAAAAGAGGTCAAATTTGGCCAGGGAGTCATTCCTGTCTGTAATACAGTTCTTAGCCAGTTGATTTAAAAGAGTTTTAACTTAGCCTTTATCTCAGCACTTTTACTTTTACCTATTTGCAGGACAAATTGCTTATTTGCAGATCTTCTGTATTCAGGGGATTTTAATCTCCAGTCTCTGTGGACAAATTTTCTTTCAACTTTTAGATGCGCCTCTCTTTCAACACATATGAATCAGATAATTAGGTCATTAGGAACACTCTGCAGATCCTGACTGCATGCTGAGGTAATTCAGGCATTTGATGGAAATGTGTTGGACCCTTTAGAAAGCTGGAGATGATCAGCCTCGAAAGGCTGGGGTTTGACATTCCCTTATCCATGGCCTTATTGAGCCTGTTTTGGTTTTGCCATAAAAATGGAGGAGGTACTTTTGCTTTTATTTGGACAAACTCCCACCAAGCTGCTAATTTACCTCTTTAAATGAGTTCCACATTGTTGCCTCAGAGTAAATGTTATCATGTGAGAGTTCCTCTCTGTTCTGTTTGTGAAGCCACTGTTGTTTCTGAACTCTCCAGTGCACTGAGATCCACCCAAGCATGCTCCTCAGTTCCTCCATGCGTTCCTTCACCTGCAACACATTTCCAATTTAGAATCATCATCCAACTCTATGTAGTCGGTGGTGATTTGGTAGAGTATATATCTGCTCACCATCTGTGTGAGGTGGTGTTCTTTGTTTAAAAGAGTCTTTGCTTTGGCTGCCAGCTCGTCAAACTCATTAAACTTTTGCTCGATTTGGATGTCCAGCTCTGCCGCCAGTGGCCGCTGTCCTTCTCTGCTGAGGTGCAGTGCAGTGTCTGAGAAAATGCATGACCTAGTGTCTTCTGTCCATGAGCTGTTCAGAGGGATGCGTTAGAAAAGGAGGTGGTGTTAGGAGACTGGAAACAGTAAGAAACATGAGAATAAGCAGACTCTCCCTGATAGGAAACACATTCGTTGGCCTGTCACACCCAGGAAACCTGCTTTATCCCTAAATTCCCTGCTCCCCCTGAGGCAAGAGCTTGACAGTGAGAACATCCTGTTCTTAAGCAAATGTTCCCCAAAAAATGGATTACAAATTGTAGCAAAGACATTCTGCTTACATCATGGCGAGGTAGCTCCTGAAGAAGCTCTGGAGCTCCACAAACTCCTGCAGACGTGATCTGTTGTCCTTCATGCTCTTCCCCAGTTCGCTCCAGGCCTGCAGCGTAGACTGGGTCTTCACCTCGAATGTGTACGCTTTCTCCGGACACAGCTCCTTCAGACGCAAAGCATGGTCCTCCATCTTCTTTACATCCTCCTTCATGACTTCATAGACAGTCTGCAGAAAATCACAGAGAGGCTCTATCATCTCTCATCAATCCTCCAATCATTCAAACAACCTGGACTGATTGTTCCTCTGACTATGACCTCATCGTCATAGCTCCATGCATATTATTCTGTTTGAGGCCCATATGTGGACCATATGGGCTTCCACGTTATAGGTTGCCGTCTTGACCACTTTTTTACTCTATTTTTTGACGACGCTGTAATTAGTAGTGTTCAGGGCTCTCTGGGAGCAACAGTTCGTGAAGTTTCTCAGTTACAGCAAACTTCACCAAAGCTGAGTTCCTGCATGCCTGTCTGCTGATGCAACAGTTATTTCTGTTCAGGAGATTAGGTCATTTCTGCTCTTCAATCAAATCAAGTCCTGACAGCTGAATGCATGTGTGTTTTTTTTTGCGCGTGTGATAAACACGACGTTGGCCAACCAATGAGTCACGCAAAACTCTACCATCCCCGTCTGAAATTCTGCTTACCCGACCAGATTTACCCCCCAAAACATACACACACACACACACACACACACACACACACAACACACTTTTAGAGTTAACAGAACAATGACTCACTGGAGAACAAACAAATAAATGGAGTGTTTTTATTCAATCTTTGCACGCTCTGTGTGTACGTGTGGCCATTATGCACAGCAGCTGATAGGAAAAACTAAAGATAGCACAAAGTGGTGCAAACAGGGCAAATTTTTGCTGAAGAGAAGAAAGTGAAGCTAATTTTTCCAAAAATAACTCTGAGTTGTGTAATCAGTGTTGAGTCATTTCTCTTTTCTGCATCTTCTTTTCTTACCTCCAGGTGGCCAAGTCTGTCCCTGAGCGACCCAAAGCCACAGCGGTCTGGCTCGCACTGCACGGCCATGTCCGTCTCCTTCTCCAGGATCTCCAGGCTCAGCTCCTTGCTGCTGCACAAACGCTCCTCCACGCGCACCGCCAGGCTGGCATGCTGGAGAGGCAAGATGTCCTCATGAGATGGGACTGTCATTAAGGTAGTGAACTTTAATGTGTCTTACAACAGGAGCCACGAAACATATTTTTTCACATGCCAAATACAAACTGTGGGATTTCTTTGACCATTTCAAATATTTTGCAAATAAATACTAAATTTTTGCTTAAAATTTCAGAGTCATGTTCTCAGTAGATCATAGACTAAAAGAACAATAGAAAGTAAAATCAGAGAAACTGATCATTATGTCACGGCTTCTCTGTGAACAGAATAGTTTTATACAAGTGCCAAAAATTCAAACAAATCAAACCAAAAATCCTTATTTTAAGACAGAACGGTTAAAATAGCAGTTCTATTACAAATCACAGACCTGAAAATGATTAAACACCTATTAAGCTGGAACATTTGGATCTAATCAACAGTATTTAAACCTCTTAAAACATAAACTCTAAACTCAGTTTAAGCACCACTTCTCGTCTAACCTTGCTGAGCAGTTCCTGGATGGTGTGATCGTGGCTTTGTGATCGACCTCTTTCCCTCACAGTGTCGTTCAGCATCTCAACGGCCTCCCGCAGTTCTTCCACAGGGTCGCCCATAGTTTCTATCTGATTGTCTCCAACACCGCTGCTTTGGAGTCCAAATAATGTCGGGACTGAGGAAATGTCACTATGTAGAGGCTGTTAGACACATGAAAAAAGGAGTTGGTTAATAACAAGAATATTACTCAAGATGACTTGATCATTTTCGATGTGTGATACCTGATTGATATTATATTGTCCTTCGATGAGCTCTTGGCTTTCGTCCAGCTCCAAATGCTCCAGAAACTCAGTCAGCATGCGTGTGTCCTGCAGCTTTGAGCTTTGTAGGATCAGAGCACTGAGCACACACTGATACCTGTGCAACACAAACACACCAACATAGTTTCGCCAACAAGTTGCTCCTATGCGCTCATCCACGTTCAAAAGAACCACATGAAAGACACAGAGGTCAGCTCACAAGATGATTGTTTCAAGGCCACAGCACTGCTTATTTTTATCAACATATCATGTGAGCATATCCAGTACCTTACAGCACAAAGCTTGCATATGCTATGATGCAAGGCTAATTTATTCTAGAATACATTAGCCTTAAATCTCTTTTTTGTAGCATTAAATAATGACATCAGCCCAGGTGTTCCACAGCTGCTTAGTGTCTCTGCAGAATGCTTCACACTTTTCTTTTATTGCAGCAGCTTAGCATTGTACAGCTCTAAAGCACAGAATAACATATACTGCAATTTTCGGGCGATAGTTTGACACTGTTGCTCTTAAGGTTACTACTATAACTTTATTTTCTATGTTTTCTTTTATTTAGCATCTTCCTCACTTTCATGTTGAGAAGATAAACCTTGGATGATGGTGAGTTTTTAGTCTTCATGTGCCATTTGCTCGTTTTTAAGAATCAATACACATTTGGCTTCTTTAATGATGGGATGTTCTCTTGTTTTTACCGTCTGTATCACATTCTAAAATAAAAGTTACTGGATAGCTTGCTCAATAAAAAAAAATATGCATAAATTATAAAAATGGTTCAGTTGCTTTTACTTTGCAATGATTTTAGAAACTTTCTCAATATTTTAGAGCAAGATTATCCCTTTTAACAAAAGAATAGTAACAGTAAAAAAAAAATTGTTTTATGGCTTTTGAGAGCTGCGGATCAGGATAATCCTGGATCTCTTGGTCTCAACAAGCGTTAATCTCTGCCTGATCCAACACTACCACCCTGGAAACACCTAAACTGAGACATTTCCATGCTTTCATTTTCCTTGCTCAGGCTGGTGCACCTTTTCCAGAGTCTGACCTTCTGTTTATATACTCAGGTACTTCCAGAAGCCCTGTCAACATCGTTAGATTATACTGTGAGCCTCAATGGCAGGCTGTCCTTCATACTAATGCCAAAGAGAAGTTAACTTGTCACAAACTAAGAGGTTGACTCAGAAGAACAAGCTGAAGTTATGGAGCAGATCTTCTGACATGCTACTACCCAGTTAATGAGAGCATGGAGAGTTTTTTATTTTTTGCCAGTGTGGATAAAGTTTCAGGTTATGAGATGTGTGGGAAGTTATATCTTCTTTTTTGGTCTACAGGGCAGCATTATTTGTCTTATGTTTAAACTGGGAGTTTTGTGAATAAATCCTTCCATGTTGAATTACAAACATGGCAAACACAAACCTGTGATGTCTTGGAAACACTGACATACTGTATTTTCTGTGACTGGCAGAAACTGCTCACATCATTCATTCCTGATGGGTTCAAATCCATAACATGGATCTTCCATGATGACAAATGCAAGGCAGCTAACCTCGACCCCTGTAAAACTTACTTTCTTTCCAACTCCTCCATGCGCGCTGCCAATCCCCGTGTGTGGGGGTGACTGTGGCCGTGAAGACGGTCCACCTCCTGCCTCAGAGCGCTGAGCTCCACGCTGCGAGCTGCCACCTCTTTCTCCAGCAGGCAGCTCTCCCTCTCGGCCCGGCTCATGGTTTCAGGGTCGCCGGTGATGGCGGACGTCTTCATGGAAAGCTCCACAGACTCCAGCCAGGCCTCCAGGCTGCCGAGGGCTTGGAGCACTTTCACAACCTTAGCCAGAGAGAAGCAGAGGATATGTGTGCAGAAAAGCATTTGTCAAGCTGGAGAGGCTTTCTTTCTTAAACATTTAAGAGATTTAATGCACAATGAAATAAAAATAAGTCAGAGTTGAAAGACGAAAGGAATAGCATCAGTAATTATATGTTTTATAATAGCAGGTTTCTTATTTGAAGTTAAATTAGATTTAACCCATAATCAAATTAAAGCATTTATATCTCTCTATGTTCCATTTTATTATGTTTCAGCCACAAACCTCAGTGTGCGTTATTGGGATTTTATGACATCACAAAGTGCTGCATAATTGTGAAGAGATACAGAAAATATCATGGTGTAAAAAATTGTACACAAATGAAAATGTGAAAAGTGTGCCATGTGTTTGTTCTAGTCCCCTTTAATTTCCTGCCCTTAAATAAAATCACAAATTACTGAGTAAAAAGAGTCCATTCGTGTATAATTTAACCGTATCCAAGCAGCTGTCGTGTGGAAGCCTCAGAGGTTTAGAGAACATTAGTGAATAAACAACCAGCTGCAAAAACCCAAAATCTTACCAAGTTTTTTTTTTTTGTCTATTTTTTATTGGAAAAAGCTTAGGACATCTGAAATAAAGCAAACTTACTTTTCAGATTTATTTACTAAGGAAGTCTGAAACCTATGTTTCAATTTACCGTATACACTTGTGCTGAATCCCAATGAAAACATGCAAGTTTGTGGTTGTAACCTCACAAAATCTGAAAAAAGTTCAAGCTTTAAGTATAATTTTTTTATGTACTTTATAAACGGTTGTAAATAGGAATGAGAACAATTAATTGAATTCCAACTAATTGTTGCTAAATGTTTATTAAAATAAAATTAGTTCCAATTGATTTATTAATGATGTCTGCTTAGACTTTGTTTTAATGTTGTACGTTGGCAGCCGCCATCCAGCAGAGGGCGCTTCTAATCATACTTAAACAGAATCAGTTGATACAGGGATAAAGATGGCAGCCATCATAAAACGGGAAAAAAAACAATCCAAAACAGAAAATGTTTTGGGATGCAAAATGCACTTTATGTGGTTCTGTTTTAACATATAAACACCCGACAAGCTCCTTGGGTTAGCAATAAAACTTATAGCGCTATTTCAGTTGATTTGCATTATTCTTTTCAACTTTTATTTTTTCATTCAGCAGCCTAAGAGGTTTCTGTTTCATAAATATGTGTCAGTTTAATAAATGCGAGAAACCAACAGTTGAAACAAAATAATTTTAAAATTTAAAAGAAGATTAAGAAAATGTTCACTTATTAATTAATTTAGTTGAATCAACTTTAGACTAACTCATTAATGTTGGATCATAACTTGGATCCCTAATTGTTCGCATACTTCTTTGCCAGCTCTGAATCAGCACCAAACAGTGGTAGAACCGATCCAGAATAATCTGTCCTGACGGTAAATCTTCCTAGAACAGCATGACCTCAGAGAACAATCTGTTCAAGGATTACGAAAAAATGAATCTCACTCTGAAGCCCAGCTTCTCGGAGGCCTGCAGAAACACAGCATTCCTCTGGTGCCTCCTCCTCAGTTCTTCCCACAGGACTTCCAGCTGGCTGAGGAACTCCTCAATCCTCGCGCTGCCTGGGTGCTGTGCACGGACCAGCCCGTGACCCTCCTGAGGAAGACGTTTTCAACACATGAGTGCAGGTGATAACTCAGAAACCTTCTCACACGAGATGTCAGAATGTCGACTACAGATCTACAAATATTCTGCACATTTTCATTCAGCAGCTGCTCAGGCGTTAAAATGCCTCCGTTTACCCTTTTGACCACCTCTATCCTGGCTCTGTTATTAAGGATTTCTTGTTCGAGGGCCTGTTGACACCTTCTGGCGGCCTCCAGTCCCTCGGAGCTTGCTATCGAACACACCTGTGTTGCCACGGAAACGTTGTCTTTCAGCCAGGACAAGGTCTGAAGAGGAAAGTAAAGAAAAGGAGGTTGGATGGTATAAAAAAAACACACACACACACACACAAAAAACCCAGAATACACACAACCAGTAACTTGGCTACCAAAACAACAGAAAACAGTTACCATAATTTTTTTGTTGTTGCCTTTTTCACTTTTATACCACTCTGGCTTCCTCCTATATTCCAAAAACATGACTCTAATTTGCCCTTAGATGTGAGTTGTGTGGCTCTGTGATGGACTAGCGACCTTTCCATGGTGTACTTTGCCTCTTGCCCAGTGACGGCTGGAAATAGACATCAGCAAGGACAAATATATAGATGACTGGATGACTGAACTGCAAACAAAAGAAATAAAGCTTCCTACTGATGGGTTTAGTGTTGGAAATGACTAACATGGAGCTCTGCACTGGCAAACTTCAATCATGAGACATGTGGGTTTGGTTTTCTTCGATTGTTTATGTTTGAAAAGTATTGCTGCTTATATTTTTTATTATTGTCATCTGACAATTTAAATTTATTCCTATAAGGAAGTTTTTCACTTCTTGTTTTCTTCTTTCTGTGCATTTTGGGTTGTTTTGTTATATATGTCTTTCCCGGCTTGGTTTGTTGCTCCTCTGTGTCTAGCTCGGTTTTCTTTGTGTTTACAGTTCTCTTCCTGTTTTGCTGATCTGAATCCCTGTATGATCCTCTTTCCCGGTGATTCAACTTTATTCATCATAAAGAAATCTGAACACTTTTATGACTGTCTCTACGTTTTGGTTTTTACATACCAAATTATGGCAACATGTATTAGAACTTATTTTAAGGTGCTTTTATTGTTTATTAAAAGTATTAATGACTTTAATCCAATCTATTTATCAGGTTTGCTTCAGATACTCAGAGAAAGTCCACCTGTTGGTTCTTAAGAGGAGTCATTCATTTATTACAACTTTTTTTATTTAAAGTTGTCTTATTTTATTGTGATCATCTTAATGTCTTAAATGTTATTTGTCTTTTAATCATGTCAGCATTATTTTGATTTCAAAGTAAATTAATTATCTTTCTAACATTATGTATTTGTTGTATGGTGAAAATTAGCTTTTTTTGCTGCTTACATTTCTCTCTGGTGTTTCTTAGTTGTAAATTTTTTTGTGAGATTTTATTCTACCTGTCCGATAATCATGTTTTGCTGTAATTGGTTGTCAACCAATCAATGTAGATATATTTCATACTTCTAGTGAGCAAAGTAAATATTAGCTGAGGCAAGAATCTAAGATTAGAGCACCTTCTAAATCAACAATCTCATTTTATGCATTCATGACAACTAATCAAAACACTGTCCAATCAGCTCTTATGTGCAGAAGCAGTAATTATTTAGTGTTGGAATTTGTATGAAGGCAGATGCAGAAATGAATTTTTAGCTGCATGTGAGAGAAATCTGATCACCTTGTCAGCAGACAGAGTGAACTTCTGGAGCTGCAGGTGAAGCTGTGGGTGGCCTCGATGGCCGGCAGGAAGCCAGGGCTCCTCTCTCGGCTTTCTGCTGCAAAGAAAACACATATATGTGACTCCACTTATGGTTAACTTCACATACATACATTTCCTTGAGTCGTCAAGAGAGAAGTCAAGCACAATAGTCACCTTAGTTCATGACTGCTGATGGTTTCGTTTACACTGAGTGAGTCATTTCCCTCTGGTGAAGAGCTGTGGTTCACTGATTGTTGGTCGTCTTGTTGGCTGCTTGGAGTTTGGATGTGGCCGTCAGCAATACTCTGCGGACAAAAGAGTCAAACATCCTGTTACCAGAAAATGTCAAAAAGCAAAACCTGATCAAAAAATGTATGAAACAAAAATAATGTACATCTCTACAGCTACAGTTTTGGGCCCACAGTGAGAGTCATTATCCTCTTTCATAGGAATCAAAGAACAATGATGAAGCTTTTCCTATTGCATAAGGAACACGACGCATTTAAAACATCCTGATGATCCTCGACTTTTAAGATGATGTTCTGTGGACTGATGAGACAAAAGTGAAACTTTTTGGAACGTGTTTGTCCCGTTATATCTATTATGAGACTGAATATATTTCAGAAGAACATTTAATTGCCGGAGCAATAAATTCTGCTCTCTACAACAAATTCCTGAGCGAGAATGTTTGGGCAAACACACTTGGGAAATTCATCTTTGAATGTTTAAAAAAGTTTTGAAGTGACATGGTCAAAATCTGGTTCCAAAAATTCTAGATCCTGATGCCCAAAAAAATCCTCCAATCTAGCAGAATTAACACACAAAGAGTGGATGAAATTTTCTCCACTGAGATCCAAAAACTTATTTCCAGGTAAAATAAACAAAAACAAAATCCATATAGTTGTTGACTAGTTGTTTGTATTGATATTCCCCTTTCATTAATGAGATCACAACATGTAAACAACATTTTGTGTTTTACTGGCGTTGTTTTTATCTGACAGTAAAATGTCTTTGACCTGGAAGATTAAGTGTGATTAAAATGTTAAAAAGTAGGGGGTTATTACTTTTTCATGGCTGCTAAATTATTACTAAAGGCTTCAACAAACTCACAAAGCAGGAATATTATATTCGCTTCCATTTTCAGAGAAGTGTTTCTTATTGCTAAAGTAAATTTCATAACGTTGCTAAAGGTTGAGCAGGAAAATAAATCAAGACGTAATTGTTGCTCTATTGATCTTTATTAGCTTCCCTCTCTATCCTTTGCAGGGCTCCCCTCTTTGCCATTTTGGCATGAAATTATATTATGAATAAAACGAAATTAGCAGACATGTGCTGTACTGCTGTGGTGATGTAAAAGAGACATTGTAGATGAAACAGATGATTATTCTTAAAGCAGCTGTGTTTATTCAGCATTAAGTGATTTCCATAACAGTTCACTGTTACAGCTGTGCAGCCGAGTTTTTAACAAGGTTAATGCCGTGGTTAAAGCATCTTCATGCAGGAAGACATCACCAGCCTCTGAACCACTTTTACAGCCATCTCTGTGTTTAGGTTGACCAGAGACCTGCACTGGGATTTTTAATGAGACCTCCATGACTTATTGTTGGAGCAGAAGAAAACCTAAAACTAAGAATCTAAAAATTGTACGTGTTCTGGGAGCAATTGTGACTTAAACAGATATGCTCCTTTTCACTTTTAGTCAGTTCTGTTGAAACAAGCTGTTGTGGTTGGATGTGGTTTATTACTTTAGAGTTAATTCCTCATTTTGAACCCAGAACTTTATTTCTATGATTGACGGCAATAAGAACCAATCCATGAAACTGCCTCTTATTGTCTTTATTTTAAGCAATTATGTCCTCGTTTAACATTGGCTATCATATTTAAATAACTATTTTCTATGGCTAATATTGATTACTGATGGATAGAAATAAAGTATTTTAAAAGTAGTCATTTTACATAACACAGTATATTTAAAGATATCATCTGCCTGAATCATCTCACTGCAAGATGTCATCAGGCTATTTCTTTTAATTAAATGAATTAATTTACATTTAATGATGTTAATTATTACATTTATTTGATATTAACTATTTGTTTCTCAAAGCAACATGGTTGCTTCTCTCTTTCCTTGTTCGCAATGGCTTCTGCTCAAAAACAAGGGATTATCTGCGAGGTGATTTGTATCATTGTAGTAGTAATACTGATATGTAACAGTAAACCTAATCATGTCTCATTATAGCTCAGCATTTTCTCTCTCTGTAATGTTTCTTATCTGTTTTCTGTTGATCCTTTCTATCTCGGAGTGTCTAACCGTCCTGCGCTCCAAGGTGATGTCAGCCAAGTACTATCATTAACCCATCTGGTCTGCAGCCGCAGCATCTGGCCGCAATTAGTCGGAGAAACAGACGATAGCCATGTTTACCTCCAGAAACAAGAGGCCCTAACTACCGCTAACACAAAGACACTGATGTATGGACTACTGAGTGAAGTATGTTCTCATAGGTACAGAGACGATAAGACTGGGGCAGTTTACCATTCATCTTTCAAGAAAGACCAATCTACGTGAAGAAACATCATAGATATTTGGTCATGCGATGACAATTTCAGTCATGATAAATCCACATTTTCCTCTCTCCTCTGTGTCTCTGTGACCTTTGGCATCCTTAAAACCACCATCTGTGTGAGGTGTGGGCATCTGCAGCTCCATCCAGCTGGCTGGATCTTTTGTTGGCACTTGAAGTGTGAATTCCTCACACTTGGATTATGAGCATACCCAAGAAATATCACATTCCAAGGAGTTCCTCTGAGATACAGATCACTGCACACACTGATACTGGGCTAACAATAAATTCTAACTTCACACAGAATACATAGAAAGTAGGGATGAGTGATAAATTGCATTTTGATTTTTTATGATGCTATCATAATATAGATAAAAGTGATGAGAGGAAATATTTATTTCTTATTTTTTATGTAACTGTACAACTGTGACTGAATGGTACAGCAATTATAGCCTCACAAACACAAAACATACCCATTTGTAATATGCTTCTTTAAGACACCAGTCACATAAAGACCTCTGGTTTGTATCACTTAAATGCACAATGTAAGTAGATTTAATCATACTTTAAAATGTACTGGTATTTGTTGATAAGAAGATATAGAAACATAGAGAAAATAATCTTAACAATATAGACAATTTTAAGGATTTTTAAATATTTTTTGGAATTTATCATGACAGCGACAAATCAAAATTTCATAAGTAATTTATCTCAATAAATGATAAATGACACAAAAAATGCTAATGGAGAACAAAAGGCAGAGAGACAAATGGAATTATGGGTAGATGTATCCAATTTTCTTTAAAAATATGATGGGGAATAAAGTCTGTTAACAAATATTTTCCATACTTATCCAGATCTGTACAATACTGACATAACCCCAACACACATTTAATATTTTTCCTGTCTGCATATTGGAATCCTGCTATGTAGAAACATGTCATGGATGATAAGTAAATAAAATGAAATCATACAATTCAAAAATTTCTTCACTTATATATGTTTATAGTGATGACCTTGGATTTTGTCAACATAGGGCTTTATTAAGAATGTCTTTTTTTTTCAATCTCTTCCATAAATAGGGAAACAGACAATGCATCCCAGCAGATCCCACCTCCCAGTCAAGGAAAGACTGGAGCTGGATCAGTAGGACCAGTACACGTCCAAACTGAAATCGACAATCCTTGCACCTTCTACTGGATGTTTTCTCTCATGACAAAATGAAACAAACATCTGCCAAACTTTAGAAGTGTGTTTCTGGCTGACTTTGTCCAAATGGTCTCTTTCTTTTTCTTCTAAGTAGCTCAAAATGTGAATGTAAAAGACTAAAAATACACATAATTACTGGTTTTTGACATACCACATCGTTTTCCAATACTTATTTTTTCAAAAGAAGCCAACAGTATTTCCTCATAGGTTTATGAGCAGTTCTTGGGTTACTGTAAGAGTACGCACGTGTTCAATAAAGCTACAAGAAACCTCATGCTCAAAAAGAAACCCAACAGTGAATCCCAGACATTTTATTCATATGATTTTAATAAATGACTGTATTTATGACATAATGGATATATAGTCGACTTTAAATAGCATTTGGAGCTCAATAGAAAGACCTATTTACCCTGGCACTCTGTTTAAACAATCAGTACTTGATATTTTCAGTGGAAACTTAAAGAAATCCTGTGCCAGGATAAACAACATCCTAAAAGCTCTTCCTATGACTTTCACAGTGTAGCAGCACTAGAAGCAACCCTAGACTTGGATTTTATTTGTCAGATTAAGGATAAGGCTAGCAGAAACTGAGTAAAATTATATGGTGCTCTCCAATGTGTGGGAGTTTCAGAGCCAGAAGAGGAATCTGTTCTGATTATATATGACGAACGCATGACTTAAACTGGAGCATCACATGGTGCTTTTAAGTGCAATTAAGCTGCTGGAAGGGATGGAAAACCAGCAGCGTGTTTGTTGCCAAAACCAGAAGTCGCAGCCTGGCTCATTTGTCGGACTTTATTTTGGAAAAATCTGGCCTAAGCTGTAAATCCGGCATTTTCCAAACAAAATGACAAAGTGAGTCATTTACTGCAGCCACAGATCTTATCTCCTGCCACTACTCACTCTGCTGCCTTTCAGACGGTTCTGCTCCTCCTTCACCTCTTTTCCCATGATCCCATGTGTCTCAGATCCCATGATGCATTGGGCTTCTCGCCCTGGAGTCAGAAGGTCAGCATCTTCCCTGGTGAAAGTGGATCCGGAGAGGGAGTTTGTCGTCCTGTCGCTCCTGCAGGCGGAGCAGGAGGTTACTTTGGTGCTGACAGCTGGACCTCAGAGACCAGCGCTGAACTCTATTAAGGCTCTGAGGTTTTCTACCACTGTTTGTTTTATTCCATTTAAATAGTTAACGCTAGAGCTGATAGAACAGCTGAAATGATGTAGAGTTGGGAGCTATAGATAGGCTACTCTCATGGGAGGCTGCGTCTGAGAAATGTTTGGACGGCAGGATGTCAGGAATCTGGACACGTCAGTTTTTTTTTCCACAAAAAGTAACTTGTTATTTTCCTTTCCTTTACTTTGTTTCTTTTACACTCATTTGCTCCCTTTCTTCACATTTGTCACATTTTATTTCCTTTTGTTCACATTCCTTGGATTGGTTCCCTTTCTTGTCAGTAGCCGTTTCCATTGGCCATATAATTGAGCAATTTGACATTTTGAAAATAAATTTGCTTAATGGAAATACAACAGTTTCGACAGTAAAAGGTTTTGGCACAAGGTGGATTTTTTTGGAAGTATCAACACTGGTTTATTTTGCAAAACATTTTTTCACATCACACGAGTCACATGATCAACAATTTTATGTTGCCACTGGCACAAACCACAAAGAAGAAGACGACAGGAATTAGTTGGAGGGTCATGTTTTTAAAGGCTTTATTGCATGAACAAATTTATTCATGTGGGATGTGAATTGCGTTTCTTGTTTAATGGAAACATTGCAATTGAGAAATTACAGATTTTGTTTATATTAGCGGAATGACGTCAAAGTTTTCTGCGCATTTGTAATGAAGGCTCAGCTAGTTGCTTCTGTTTTTCTCCTGTTTAGTTTTCTTTTATTTCTTTTCATATTGCTTCTTTCTTTTCCTTACCTTCACTTGCATGTCCTTTCCCTCCATAAGCAATTCCAATCAATCAGTGTGTCCATATTGTTAATGTAATGTTTTTTGGTCCAGAATAAAATAACACTTCTTGCAATGTTTTCTTCTGCTATAAAGAACGGACTCATTTATTTAACCCTAAGACAAACTGCTTCTTCTAAAGAATATTAGCTTATTGTACATGCAGCACAACTGTTACAAAATCCAGCTGTCATCGCCTAAAAAACAAAACAAAGAGTCCTTATTACTTCTTGGAGATTTTTTTTTGATAGGGTAAAACTCCCAGTGATGTAACAGTCTGGACATAAAACTGTGCGCTATTAAACAAACAAATAATGACTCCATAAAGTTACAAAATATTCTTGTTAATGTTTTTTTTTTCATCTCAGATTCAGCAAATTGACTGACTAAGATGATGTCACTGTTTTTATGGTGAGAACAAAGCAAATCAGTGTAGCAGAGTTGATGTAATGTGTCTTTCACATAGATCCATCTTCCAAATCATTACAGAAGTTTGCAGCTTTTCACTCCAAAGTGTGGAACACACTTCATCCTCACCGGTGACGTACCTTAGATCCCTCTGGAGGAGCGCCCAGCAGTCTTTCACCTCGGCCTGCTTCTTTGTGATCCCGGCAGCCAGTCCAGGGTGCAATTTGGGCAGCTGAGACATGCTCACATCCAGCATCTACCGAAGACAGGGCTGCAGGTTAGGCGGAGACGGCTTCTGGAGCAGCATGCAGGATGGGAAAAACATTGTTCTTACCATGATTTGACCGGCAATGTCGCGGATTTCTCTGTCGCCAAAGGAGTCCAGGTCTTTGGATGCAGGCATGCTTCTCCGCTGTTGGGAAAATATGTTAGTTATTGAATATGAGTATGAATATACTCATATTCAATCAGTATATTTACTCATTGAATTATGATTTTTTTTTTATTTTATTTATCTTGTATTTAGCTTTCAAACTTGTTGCATTTATTGATGGCGTTAATTCTGCTTTGTCTCATATTCTTGTTTATTGACCTCATGTTCCCAGAAATTTGTATGATTTCAGAATAACATGAAGTGAAATGTACACATTGCAGAATTTATAGCATGTAGAAGAACTAAATTCATAAGTTCATTTCTAGTTGGAAATGGAGACTCAAAGTTTCCAGGTGGTTTTGCTGGGTTGCAAAAATCAATTAATCAAATTTTATTTGTGTAGCGCCTTTCAGCAATAAGGCATTTCAAACTGCTTTACGTCATAAAAACACAAAAATACAAAGTCATAAAACACACAGTCAACAACATTACATTTGACCATCATTACACATTGGATCATTGATTAATGATTCATGATTATGTTTCAACAGAAACTTTAAACTGCTGGGTTTTTAGTATAGATACAAAGAAACTCAGTGTTTCAGCTGTTTTGCAGTTTTCTGGAAGCTTGTTCCAGATTTGTGGTGCATAGAAACTGAGTGCTGCTTCTCTATGTCTGGTTCTGGGGATGCATAGCAAAACAGAACCAGAAGATCTGAGGGGTCTGGAAGGTTGAGAACAGCAGATCTTTAATGTATTGTGGTGCTAAGCCATTCAGTGATTTATAAACTAACAACAGTATTTTAAAGTCAATTCTATGAGCTACAGGGAGCCGCTGTAGGGACTTTAGAACTGGTGTTAGGTGCTCTATCTTCCGGGTTTTAGTCAGAACGCCAGCAGCAGCGTTCTGGACCAGCTGCAGCTGTTTGATTAATTTTTTTAGGCAGACCTCTGACGATACTGTAGCAGTAATCAATGTGACAACAGGTCACATTGATTACTGCCTAATCAATGTGACCTGTTTTTCAAGATCTAGAAAAACTGGGTGAGTTTTTCTAGATCTTGCTGAGACATTAGTCCTCTAATGTAAAATGTCCCCATTACATCTGTGCAAAGGGTGCAGATGTGCATATAAGAAAGATAATTTCCTTTGTTAGTTAGAAGTTCAATGAACTTCTCGATCAAGTAAAAATCCATGAAACAAACACATGTATCTGCCTCTGTTTTGATTCTGCCTTAATACAAATTTTTGTAACATCTGCTAAAACAGAGAGTGCAGTTAATAAGAAGCTCTCAGAACATTAAGATTTAGTATTGGGTTTTCTGTCACTTTACCATATTATTTATAGCATCCAGAGTATTATCAGCCTGCTGGTAAAAAGACGACATCTCCAGCGCAACCTGAAGGTTCTCGTGGTAGTTTTTCAGGTAGGACTGGACCTTCAGCCACCTGCATAAAGAACATTACGCCTTGTGGTTTCAGCTTGAAGATAAAACATGAAGCATTTACGTTTCACGTAAAGCACAGAGCATACATTTTATTGATGTGTTTCTTCCTGATGGTGATGTTTTTGCCATCTGCCTTCCCCAGTTTCTCCAGCTTCAGGGCCAAGTTGTTGATCTCTTCATGCAGGTTTCTGTGGAGCTGCTCATCCTGTTGTAAATAGAGCATACATATACTTTGGTTTCCCCTCCTGAATGTCCTGAAGGTCTGTTTAGAATCAGACAGGGGACACTGATAAATAAAGCTGCATGCATTGTTAAACTGGCACAAAGCTTTTGTCAGTGTAAGTTATGCATTGTTTTAAATCCTTTTTTACAAGGCTGACCTGTTTGAGATCAAGAATTCTCCTGGTGAGCTGCATTTTGTCAACATTTTCTCCCAGGACACTCACCAGAGACTGTTCCTCTTCCTTCTGTTACACAGAAAGTCACTGTTTATAGAAGTGGTTTTTGCAAGAAACCCAACAACCATTTATTTTCAGACGCACAGTGGCAAAAAAAAAAACACAAAAAAAACACATTACTTATGCAACAAGGAAGATATAAAACAGAGTTCTGGTCAGAGCTTCGCATTCGGTCATCCCACAGGCATGGATGTTACATTAACTTCAGGGAAGGGGCTCCAGAGTGCAGCATGGAGTTCATTAGAGGCCACTGGAGGGATTTTGTTCAAATTTGAAACAACAGTAGATGCAAACGGACAAAATATTTTAAGGTGGTATTTTTATGGATGCATTAAAATCTTCTTAGTTATTTCTTTTTAAACTTCAGAGGACCATAAATATATCAGCTCTTTACCCAGAAACAGACTGGAGCACATCCATTAAATTGGACTAAATATAACAAGTGTTTTCAAAGAAAGAAACACAGATACCTTCTTGCCCAAGACAATGGATAACAGAATCTTCTTTTCATTGAGTAAATATGAGAAACAGTTTCATAATCAGATGTTTTAGTTTTACTTAAATGTTTATTGTTGAGAAGGCAAAGATGGGACTTGTTTTAAACCCCCATCCCCAAAATTGATTTTGTTTGTGGTTCATCTGTACTTTCAACTTGAAAATTTGGCAAAATGTTGTTGATGTCTTAAAAAAAGGTATGGGCTCAAAATAACTGAGGTTGAGTTATTACTTTTTCTTCAAAACAAACAGTTGAAATGCATCAATAAAGGCATCAAATGCATCCCTACTAAGCTGGATATTGCATTAAAAATGAAGGTGAAAAACTTTAATCCTGAATGATGAAGTGGGGGGTGAATGTTTTTTAGATTTCACAATTTATCTCCTTATCTACAATCCCACAGATTCATCATCCATTCCTCTCTCCCTCATGTTTGATGCAGACAGGAAAAGAGTGATAAACACTGACCTAGAATTTACTCCATGGCTTGTTTTTTGTAATGACAGGCAGATGTTTTAAATGGTGAGTATGCATGTTCAAAAAAAGAAAAAGAAAGAAGAAAATGTTTGCAGGATACTGAGTGTATTTCCTGTATAAGCAAGAGCCACTTGAGTACTAATTATCTTGACAACTGTTGATCAGGTTGTGTAACTATGGAGTGAAAAAAGTCTCAAAATACATGTGCGTGTGCAATACTGGATTTCTAATCCGTGTAAGCATCTTTGTGTGCAACTTTGGAGAGTTGTATCTGTGGAACATGTTTTGTAAGCCGTAAAAACAAAATTTGTAATTTTGGGTACTTGTACATATGTGGTCAAATGCATACACAAATATGAAGAAATTACAAATACAAAATGAAAGTACACACAAATAATTATAATTTCTACAAATGTTAAATTTCTACACAAAAATGTTTAACTTCAACCTCACAAATCTGATCATTATGAATTCAAAGCTTTTCCTACGCCTACAAATGTTAAATAAGTACAAATGTTAAACTGCATTTACGCACAGATCCGGTTACAAGTGCACAAGGATTTTTGGGACTCGTTTCACGCTTACAAACCGCCTCAGACTCATGCGTAAGTGGTGTGTTAGATGCTGGTGGAAAGCTGGGTTATGTGATTTTTGCTCGGAGTCTAGTGTTTTCATCCTTTGAATGTTTGTCGTTGTGCTTGTGACAAACAAATTCTCTTTTTACGGTTCACTAATCATGTTTCACAGATTTAACAATTCAAAATTTACACGGATTACAAATCCAGCATTACACACGCACAGGTATTTTGAGACTATTTTCTCTATAAATATAACAAAGCACTTTTGTTATAATTGCTTCATTAACTCTGCTTTCTTACTCTATTTTGGATAACTTGCAATTTCAGAAGATAAGAAATGGGTGAATTTGTAGGTAAACAAATGCAATAAATCAATTAATACTTTAATTTTAGATAACATGGCTGCTTACCTTCTCTTTAATCCAAGCTTCCAGTTTGTCCACCTTCCTGTTGAAGTCCTGCAGACTCCTGGCTCCACCTAGAGCGTGCGTCTGATTTGCGGCCATCTGCTTCAGGGTTTGCCACTGTTCCCTGAGCTGACTGAGCTGCTTCTTCACCAGGTCGGACGTTGGGTTCAGCTTGCAGATCAGCTGTTCACCCAGCTTTAGAGATATAAGAGTCGGTTTATTTGAGCTGGAGGCAGCTGGACAAATATTGGAAAGTAAGCAAGCAGCACAGTTAACACTACCAGTTGTTCTTCTTGTACACCTTTAATGGTTTGTTGGTTACTTTACCATCAGATCACCTCCACATAAATCTACATATTTGATATTTAAATCATGAGAGCGCAGCAGGTTTGTGACCTGGTTGAGCTGAATCAGGGTGTTCTCAAAGTCTTTCAGGTCTCTGTGAAGCGTCTGTGAGGCTTCCTCCCAGTCATGTAGGGGGCGATAATGAACATTACATCCGTCTTTCAGGTCTTGGAGTTTGCTTTTCATCCATGCTTCTGCCTGCATAACAAAAAAGACAAACTGTTTCAGATGTTCATTACAGCTCGTGTAGTCGCTCATTTATCATCACACTGGGATTCAATTTCACTTCACTCTTGAGAAGCACTTCTTTTTATCACTATATCCCATTTTTAAGTGACTGTGGTGTCTTTTTTACTCTACCCTAAAGTGTAATGACGGTTTGGGAACATGAAAAACAGCCTCATGTTCTCCAATGTCATGCTATGTGGAGCGGAGGTTTGTCTTGGCTGTAGCTCGGACTCGGTTGCATAAGGCTTTGTCTTGAAAAGCTGCCTTTTCCATCAGCACTTTGCATGAAGTAAGAAGGCCGCCAAACAAGGTGGCCAAAATGTGAAATATCTGAAGGAGCATGTTTGTTTTCTTAAAGAGAACATGGCATGGGAGTCAATGAGCTATGTAAGTCTGAAACACACACAAAATAAGTGCAATAAATCAGGTTAGATTCTTGCTCCTGTCAGAATGATCCCACATGAGCCATAACAGCGATAAAATCAGAAGAACCTCATATACTGCACAGTGTCAAATAAAGGTTAAAGCCACAACAAAGTCATAATAACGTCACATCCAAACATTTTCTGGAGAGGTTTAGGGTAAAAAAAGGAGAGAACTTTAACCCGACTTCTAAATCTATAAAATACATCCAGGGTGAACACACGATGGAGCCACTTTTGGGTTGTGTTTAAAGAATGATGTTACTCTTCCCCAGAGAATGGGGTCATTAACTTTCCGAAGCGCTCCCACCCTCAGGCTGCAGAAATATTGTTGGGTTAAACAGAGGGAAAGCAGCTTCACACAACAGGCTTGCCCATATCTGCTCACAACGGCTCCCATGGCATTATAATGACCTCATGCAGGAAGTCTATGATTCGCTTGTTTCTTCCTGTCTACTCACCACAACAATGGTCTGTTTATCAAAATGTGCAATTAGGGTTCGTTCTAGTCACAAGAATGGAAACAAAAATGTCAGCTTTAAATAATCACCACTGAAATAAATCCTTCTGAAAAGCCTTTAATCAGAATGAAAACTTTGGAAAATGGTTACACTACTCCACATGTTTAGTTCTCCGTTTGTGAAATGTTTCCTGGTTTCTGCCAATCAAAATATATGACAATACAATATAATATCGCACCACTGCATGGCTAAAAAAGTAATGACAACAGTTCAAAAGAAAAAGAACGAACCCAAGTCTATTCAAGGTATAGTATTACTGGATTCACCAAACTGCAAATTTTCTTGTGGAAGTTATTTGCGGAAAAATTAATCATGGATAGTAAATCAAAAATATAAAAGCAGCTTGCAGCTGAAATACCTCGCCATGTGTAAAAGTGCATTTGGTGTTTGAACTATCAACATAGGGGAATGATGTGCATTTTTTAGAGGAAGTCTGAAGTATTTGCAGATGTTATTCATCAAACTCTCTCTCAAAACCCATGTAACTATTGTTTGCTTAGACATAATTTACACTTTCTCTCAAGTCTTCAGCTTAAATTTTAAACTTGGTGAAAATAGAGTCAGGACAAAGCAAGACAGATGGGGAATAGTCCATAAAAACAGTTTCAGTGTTCTGGTTCATGTGGATCATCATTTCTTTTTTACTGCAGATTGAGCTCATGTCTGACGATTACATCACACCCGACATGAACGAGTTGAAGCTGATTTGCTAATTGTTGTGCGACACATTCCTTGGTCAAAGCTGCCACTCTTATAAAGCATACAATTAGCAAGATTATGTGGTTTCATCTTTCTTTATGTTGGGTTGTATTACATTGAATCAAAAACACACTTTGTGACGTATAGCTTCAACCTCTGAACAGGTGCACATTTTGGTATGCATAGACTGCAATGTTAACAGCAGGGAGCAGTCACCAACACCAAATCCATGGAGTCCTCAACTCAGGTGTGACGTCATTCCCAGATCCGAGCTCCACCGTGCGAGATAATCTCTATATATCCATGCTTTAATAACTCATTGTCAAGGGGTGGTTTTAGAAAACAAACCGTTGAAACCTGGAGATCGTTGTTTGGCCAGGTTGTTGCAGTGGACAGAAAAAGCCCCTTCAACAAGTGAAATCTTCACCCCTTAAAAACGTCTATCACCACACACGTTTTTCAACTTGGCTTGAAATAAAGTGGGAGATTAAGTTTTTTTTTTCTCCACTTTCTCTATCACGAAACAGCAATGGTGAAAGGCGAGATGTTTTGCAGAGCAGCTGCAGAAAAAAAAGATACGTTTCTCCATTGGGCGAACTGCTTTCCCCTCGCAGCGTGAACCTTCAGGGGCCTTTAAACGTCTCAGAATGGAAATCACACTTCCACTGTCAGAGCAGTGGAGCACTGAAACATTTTCAGAAACAACAGCAGTCACAAACATCAATGATCGAAATACAGTACATCAAAACGTCTGTGGGCGCTGCGATGAGATAACACAACCAGTTGCGCTGCTTGGCTGAGTTTCTCTCAGCCATAGGCGTGAAGCGACGGAGCCAAACGATGATCTCATCCCTAAATAATTGGTTGTGGCGGCTCCCCTTCCCCACTCCCCCTGTTGAACACAGCTCACACAGTTCTTGAGACAAAATAAGAACCAGTACATATTTTGTTCCCACTAGGGTCACGCAGAAGGCAGCTTCCCTTCTGATTTCATCTCAGCGGCATTACTTCGTGTTTTGAGATGAATTTACTGCGTTTTGTTTCCATCAAAGGAGATTCAAAGTCCCGATAAGCTACCAAACAGGGTTTCATTCATGTAGAGTCGCCACTTACACCGCTTTACAGTACAGAATCAACATTCATGTTGAGTGTTTGCTTTGCTTGTGTTACCTGCAGTGCTTCTTTGTTGAAGAGAGAGTTTCGCTGAGTGAAGCAGTCACTGTGGGATTTAGCAGCTGCTAAGTCATCCTGACTTTCTCTCCTCTGAGGCTCTATTTTCTGCTGCTCAGGTGCTGAAATCTGTGTGACCACAAAACGGGCAGAAGAAGGTAAAACCAAGGCAAGTAAATACCGCGGTTACTCTGGTGATAATAAATGTGTCTAATTACGCCAGTAAATTTAAATTTGCTATAATTATACCTTCTGAAAAAAAGCACGCATGCATTATACCCCCCAGGCCAGCAGGGGGAAACCTAGAGTGAACTCTGAGAGACAATTCAACCGTTCAGAAAAGGCTAATTTTATTTTTCTTCTTCCATATTTCCTTACAGTTTTGGATGTTTTATTTCTGACTTTCTTCATAGGACATGGTGCACCATACATTGATGTTAATTGATAAAAATGCATAAATACAAAGGGAAGTAAGGACATGGTTTAAGTTTATTAATACGAAAGGGTTTGTTTACAGCTAGGAAATGAAAGCAAAAAAATTACTGAATAGAGGTGCAAATTGATCGAACAAATCAGAGCCAATAGCCACCTCTGAGCTTGTGTTGCTGTTTTATTGTCAAACTTTACCAAGAAGCAGCAGCTTTTCACTTTTTCCCATTAAAAAAAAACAAATTTAAAGGAATTTTAAACCAGTCAATAAGTTTCCTTTTTAAAAGAAATTTATGGTCTTAAAAGAGTTGATGACTGTACAATTTGTAACACATAAAAGTTTTCCGAACTTTGTTACTCTGGCTACCTTATTTGGACATTTGCTCCCAAACATGATCCCTGCCCAGGAATTTTTTTCCAAGAGTTTTAAGAGTGCACAGATGGAAATGGCATGCCAACCAAGCTTTTTTTTTAAATTATTATTATTATTACATATTTGCAGTCCAGTTAATGAGATTTGGGTGTCCCCAGTAGCACAGTCTAAGTCATCCACAGTTCACAGTAAACTAAGCTAACCAACGCTAAGAATGGCCTCTGCACTCAGATCAAACTCTGTTTAGGATCCATTTGGTCCTGAAGATATCACAACCTGTGTTGGGTTGTTCCCAGGTTCCACCTAACAAAGCCCTACTGTCAGCACCATCCAAAGTGAAATGAGCGCGGCTGGCACAGTTACAGTAACGGAGAGGCGTTCCTCCTCTCCCCTCAGGAAACATCTGGGCACGAGAAGGAAGCAGGAACCAACAGATCCGGGTCAGTTTCATGTAAAGTATTCACCTTTGAAGGTGACTATGCCAAAAATATTTTTGCTACAAGCAATTTCTCTGTTATTTACAACATATGGGTAGAGGAAAATCATGCCAGTTTTGTTGAGAGAAATGAAGCCAGAGCTGAGGAGGCATGTTATTTTAACACCTCAGTGAGGTTTTTCTTTTGTTAACATCTTCCCTGACTTCATGTTTTCCAGTAAGCCCTGCCTCTTCCAGATCTGCTGAGCTCTTCATACCTATCATGCACTTTAACGCCACTTTGATGGGCCAAAGTCTCTGTTTCCAAACATTTCATTTCTAGATGTTAATGGTTATTAAACTGCAACTTGATCACAGATTAAATGTTTATATTTTTGACTTTTAATTTATTAACATGTTCCAGGTTAGCAAAAGCACAAACAGTCCTTGGCCATTTTTTTTTATGTCTTTGTATTGGTCGGTGGGTCTTTGTCATATTTTATTTATTCATTTTACTTAAAAAAATATCTTAAAAATGTGACTTTCCTTTGGTACAAATAATCACTTGAGAGCCTAGAATGTATTTGTTGTTACAACTTTTCACTCAGTTAACAGAAATTAATGCTTCTCTAACATGTGTTCGCTTAAAAATAGCCATTGAGTTAGGATCTTACCTTGACTGATTTCTCTCCATTTAGTTTTTCCCAAGTTTGTTCCTGCGCAGGCAGAAATTCATCACTTCCCTCTTTGCTGAGTAAAACCTAAAAGCCAGATTTAAATAAACAGTAAAATGTTTCAGTAGACTATAAAACACAAACTGTTACGCTTATGTTGCATAAGTGTTTTAGACAAGTATAAATATATCTACGTACTATAAAACTGTCTGTAGTCTTATATTGTTAGTTCGTCAGTTTGTTACTTTTCTTAGAAATTAATATTAGTAATAATAATAGTATTTTTATTATTGTTGCTATTAATTTAATAATTATCACTATTATTATAATCAACATTCTTCTTATTATAGTTATTATTATTATTATTATTATTATTATTATTATTATTATTATTATTATTATTATGTTAATTTAGCCAAAAATTATTTAATTAAGATTAATTTTAGCCCACAACATTTTTGTTAATTTTAGGTAAATATCTATGATGCTTTTACAAAATACATATTCTGATTTTTATTTCTGCTTTCACTCTAAATTCAATTAATTCCTTAATTGAACTTAAATCAATTTAAATGTATTTTTTCAGCTAAAAATATTATTTTTGAATATATAAAATATCAATAAAAACAAGTGATAATGCCTTTTGTACCTTAAATTGAGAGTTGGGTTTATTTTCGCAGCTAACTTCCACAATTCTTGGCAGATGTTGATCTGGAGTGCTGCTGCTGCTGCTGCTGCTGCTGCTGCTGCTGCTGCTGCTGATGTTGTTATTGTTGTTGTTGTTTCCAGACGTGGAGCATGTGACTTGTCCCAGCGCTGTCTTGGAGTCTGATTCATCTTTGCTACCAGAGATGGTGATCTTCTTGATGGATCTGGAGACGGCAGAGGGAGAGGCGATGTTCTGGTTGAGGTGGTCCTCCGCCGCCATGTGCTCCGGCTGGATTTTGACGGGAGCTGCCTGGTCGACGGTCGGTAAAACAAGACGGGAGCCATGTGCACAGACCTGGGATCTACTGAGGTAGAGCGAGTTCAGGTTGCGCTGTAAAACGCAATTATCCAGAGCCTCACTGGGCAGATAACTCTGTGGAAACTCCTGGCATTTAGTTACCGAAGGAACAGAGAGCCTGGTTCCAATGGTGAAGGGCTGCACCTTCCTTACAATACTCTCAGACATCCTGGTTAAAAAATTATATAAAACTCACTTATGTCCCCTAAACAGCTGTCCAGTCTCTTGCTCAGAAAGTGAAGAGAGAGTGAGTTCAGTTCTCCACCTTCTTGTGCATGTTGAGAATACACAGGACACAGCCCAGGACTGCTTCCTTTGACTCCTGGGATCGAACGCGGTCCCAGATGTGCCTCAATGCCGTGCCAAGGTGGGCAGCGCCTGTCGAGAGGCTTCTCCTGAGGAACTGAGCCAGAGAGCCTGCCAGTCTGCTGCTGAGGAGCCTGATAACCAGGGAGCGCAACAAGATGAACACTGGCATGCTGCCTGAGCGTGCTGCGCTGAAGTATTGGGAGGAAAAAAAAGCAAAAAGGGAAGCTCAGAAAAGGAGGGGGAGAGAAAAGGGCTTGTTAGGAGAAGGGATGAAGTCACCACTTTGTCACTCTGCCTCTCCTCTCTCTCTCACTCACTCTCTCTCTTATTTTCTCTCTGTCAGGAGTGACAGATCAGGGAGCTGTAAAGCCTGGCTGTCAAAACTTCCCTCTGAACCCGAGCAGAAAAGCTGCTCCGATAAGCAGAGAGCGATGGAGTCAAGGGCTGTTACCTCTGTTAGACCTCTTGAGTCTCTGTTTATCCTCCATGAGGTAATGTCCTCAACCGAATCACCCGCGCACACTCCCACGCTGCCTCTCCCTTACCTCCGCTTTGATGAACAAGCTTTGCCCCAAGGTGTTGTGCTGCTTGTGCGCAAGAAAAGGCATCAAAGAGGAGGACGAGCTTCAGAGGCTCATGGCAGCTCAGTCAGTCCAGGAGTGATGGACTCAACCCCAGACTCCACTCCTTCCCCCGTCAGAAAGGAGCAGTTGTCTCACAGGTCACAGCTGAACGGAGCAGAGCAGCTTTGGCACCACAAGTGTGGAGTGTTTTCTGGTGGAGCAGCCGAGCAGATGATGAAACCTGTCACTCCTTCACGGTCGCTGGGGTTTCTGAGAGCAAATGTTGGGCTCACTGATTGAAATAACAGAGGTGGTTTGCTCCTGACACTATCACGGGGGCAGAAGAGGATTAAGAGGGCAAACAGCAGAGAAAATATTTGCAGGGAGCAGAGGGGGGGAAATCTGTCTCTTACCTTAAAAGGAGCTCTCACTCTTCACACCTCTGCCCTCTGACTTGACCTCGGCACCTGCTTTGAAGCCTCTCTCAGCAGTACAAGCAGTTATTGTATTCTCTTTTTAGAACACTTGACTTTCAATTCCTTGAAAAAAATCATAATACCTCAAACTTTGGCGTATTTTATTGGGATTTTGGGTCATAGACCAACACAAAGTGGTGTTAAAGGGAAAGTATTATGTATTTTCCAGGCATATAGTGGTATTTTATAGCATAATAAAGTAACAATGTTACCTTTGATATATATAAATATGCTGTATATATGAAATATGACACAGCTTACAACAAATAGATTCTCCTAAGCCTTGGATCTCTGCTGCTCCTTCAGAGTTTCTTGGCTGCGTCTTTGATTAATGCTCTCCTCGTCATTCCCTCTATATTTCCAGATGTTGGATGAACAGTGTTCTGTCCTCAAAGATTGAGATATTGTTTTACAACCCAAATCTCCACAACTTTATCCGTGAAGTGTTTGTTTTAAGATTTTGGCTTCTGAAAAACTCGAGACATGATTTACAAATAACAAGGCAAGTGTTTGTAATTGACTCCATTTAAGGGGCATCAGAGTAAAGGGGATCGATTCCAAACAATGAATCTTTGTCTTGGTGTATCATGTCAAATTATATTCAAATACATGATGGTTTATGGTTGTATTGTGACCAAAAGCTCAAGGGATGTGAATACTGTTTTGAGACTCTGTTATGTAGTGAAATCATAGAACATCGAAACATTCATTCCCTTTTTTTCTGATCTCCTCTGTGTTCATGTGCTGTTTTTTTAAGAAGTACAACCAGCCAGCAGTGAGACAGCACTTTCTCAGCAGGACTCCATTTGACAGTCACAGTCATCATGGTTAACAACGCTTTTAAATTAGCTCTGGTTTCATGATGAAGTCATCTAAAGAAGAGTTTTATGTGCTGCAGCTTGAAATCAGAGAAACACTCTGCACACCCTGGGAAGTTACTCACAGAGAATGGGTGGAGTTCATGAGGTTTGGCGAACTTGAAAATGTAATTTTCTTGCGTTGGTAGGCAAGCGACTCTTTACAAAAGCAGTTTATGTGTTCAGTGGTTACAGAGTGTGTGGCTACCTCTATTTTGATGAAATGCTAATTGTGTACACTGTTAAATTAACTCCTCCTGCCTTGACCACGTAACATTTGCTGTGCACGGAAAATAAGAATTAAGTGTCTGCCTCAGAAGCGCAAAGTGTTTTAATGGGGTAAGCTAACTTTGTTCTGCAGACTTAGAAGTTTCACTTTTTTGCAAATTGCTTCAGTTTTATTTAGAAGTTGTTTTACTTCTAAAAGAACATCATGTTGCTGCATGAAAGTTGAAGCAACATGAAGATAAATTTAGAGTAAGCTTATGGCCAGCCTAAATGTAAAATATGCTGACATTATAATAATGTTTCCACATCCAGATTAAGATAGTACAAATCTTCATGTCCATGCACCTCATCAGTCGGTTGTCATCCGACGCCAAAACACGACCCCAGAGCGGCTCCATGAGGTCACCTCAGTCTCCCTCGTCCATGATTCACCTTGTTTATAGTGTAGTCTTACTGCATCAAGTTTCTCAAAAAAATGAGTTCAGTTGTGTCTGGAACCTGACTCATTAATTGCTTTTTACCTCCTGAATAAAGCAGACTCAGCTGGAGGAACAACGTTTTCCGGTCAATCATCTGGTCACTTATGCAACTCCATGTGGGAGTAGCATAAAAACAGTGCAGGGAGAGTTTCATCTTAACATTGTTAGTTAAATTACTGTCATAAGTAGTGGAGATATCAGAAAAAGAAACCAGATCTTGAGTGCAAATATTTTATCAAGAATTTGATGCAGAGTACTCAATGAAGTAACAGAAGTTTTTCAGAAACAAAAGGGAACAGTGATTTAATTTGAAATTGGTTTAATTTGGCAAATTTAGATCCACTGTTATTTTTTTAATCATAAAAACTGCAGATAGTTCCTTGCAACAGTTTCCTTATACATCACAACAAACGTAGCTTGCATATACCAACAAAAATTAACTTTCAGATGGTGTTATTAAAAACTCTGAAACTTTTTTGTCGTAGAAAGTTTGTGCATCTTCCAACATCTAACTCATGGAGATAAGGCAATTTCTCTATTTCTAATGGTTGCCAACTTTCAAGATGTGTTAAACTTGATAGAAGACCTCATATTTTCTTTGAATAAATCTTTGTTTATTTTAAAAGATTGGTGAAACATGCCAGGGTGTGCCCCGCCTCTCGCCTGAAACGTTAGCTGGAGACCCCTCGCAACCCCGATAGGGACAAGGGTGTTAGAAAATGGATGAATAGATAGTAAAACATGTTAGTTCTCGCTGATATGTAGTTGGAAGACATTTGCTTGTCTTTCTAACATTTCTCTCACATTTTGACTTTGCTGAATAAATATTGAGAAGCATTTATTTTACTTTAAAACTGAATTAAGATTTTTTTTGTCACTTTGAAACTAAATTTTAATAATTTCACTGAAATAATATAAATTAAGATTGTTTAAGAGGTTTTTTTTTCTAAAATAGTAGCAAATTAAGTCAATAAAAATTTTTTAAACAATTGTTTATCTTTAAAAAATGCATAGTTGGATAAGCAGACAGAGATATGCACAGATATACCCAACATCCTTTCAAACCAGTCATATTTGCCTTCAGTCCAACTACATAAAACTCATCTACAGTTTCAAATATTACATAACCTTTTCTGAAAAGAGAACTTAAACATTTTTAACAAATATCTGTTACAGAAAATTGCGATTATGGTTAAAAATCCACCATTTCATTTATGCTTTAAGGTTTTTTAACTAAGAAAAACATAAAACATTTACAAAAAGTGGATTGATATGTTTTCTTCTATGAGATGTTATTGTTTGTGAAAATGAGTTAAACTAAAAATGAAATAGTCTTACATGTAATGAAAAAAAAATATTGCTGAAACTTGATCGGCCGATACTAAACCTCATATGTCTGCATCGGTGTCAGAAGTGAAAATAGTGGATCAGGACATCACTTGAGCACCCAGAGTGAACAACTGCAGCCCCATTTCTGGAGTTAGTTAGTCTGAAATACAGTAATTTAATTTCAAAGCAATAAAATTAAATTACCTTGATTTTGTTTTCTTATTTACTATCTAAACATTTTAAAAGGATGCAAATTTGTTTCTTCAGAGTGACTGTGTGATTAGATTTGAACCAGGTGTTCCCTCTCTGCCAGCTCAGTTGGATTACGCTACTGTAACACCTTCCTTATGCTGTTTACCCTGCAGTCCTCTTCCTCTTCCTCCACACACTGACGCTGCTTTCCCCAACATTTAAACCTCAGCCTGGATCTGTCTGCATGTCAAACACACGCACCTTAGAGGACAGGATGTCAAAGCCATCAGATACCATAGCCTCCCAAGATGATAATGAAACCCCGATGCGCCCTCACCACAAACCCTAGTCAGTGATTGCTTTGTTAGATACCCTCCTCTTTTCAGAAAGAGTAAATACGACTTGGAAGACTTTTTGGAGGGGTGATGTCACCGAGGCTACCCGCATAAAAGGAGGATGATAGCTGTGGTGGAGGAGAGAATATGTATGGCAGAAACAGGGGGGTCTGTACTTTTCCACTCGCTTTATGTCATCACAAAGGCATGATCGGCCTCTTGGTCAAGTTTCAGTACAGATAAGGTTGGGATTTTGCTACGGATCACTATCAGTGCAGAAAAAAAAATGAAGCTCTGCGAATGGCTGATAGAATCCTAAAATACAGAGGAGCATGCCATATCAGACCCACACTGAATCCATCGTTAAACACACAAAAAACAAACGATCAGCATTATTTTTAACTCGTTAGAAGCCTAAGGTCAAAGACAACATGAGGTAATGCATCGGGTGTTTGAGCTACAAAGCAGTGAAAGCAGGTTTA